TAGCTATTTAGAAAAATTACTGACTGGCCGTAGCATGGAAAGATTCAGAACAGGCAACGTTAAATATTTGCGCCGTTGGTGAGCTATTCTTTCTCATACTTGAAATATCACAACTACAATGGTTTGGGCATATGATAAGGATATGAAGCAGCAATCTGCAGATGCACGCTTTTGACCAAGCCACTGGTTAGGCTCGTGACGTCAGATCACCTACCGGGTGATTCAGATGATGGTGATATATCGGGTAAACGACTGGCATTGTAAGGCCTTGAACTCCATACCACGGAGTGTGTCCGTGTAGCAGCTGACCAAAGCATTGCAAAGGTCCGCTGAAGCAGCTGATCACGCGATCCGAAAGAAAGAGGATCTTTGAAAATGAATGAGCTTCAAATTGTCTTCATCTTCTTCCATAACCGCTTCTCCTTTCGAGTCGCGGAGTCAGACGTGTCAGACATATCTTCCACGTTACCGATCCTATGCCAGAGGTGAGTTTCGGTAGAATATGTATTGGCACCAGATTAATCTTGGCCGTCCCCTGGGCCTTCTTCCGGTCGGATTTGCAAGAAACGGTTGCTTAGCCTTCCTTTCTGGAGGCATTCACAACACATGCTCAAACCATCGCAGCTGTGCTTCGAATTGTCAGGACACTAAATTAAGCAGGCAAAATTTGCTGAAATGAACATAATACATAAATGGCCATAATTGATTTTTGTAATCTAAAGTATATTGTGTTCAACACCTTTATATAACCGAGAGTTTAAATTTCACATTAACATAAACCTTCATATGTCAACCACATGAGGATATTTTCTATTGTGCTGTTGTTTAATTACCGTATAAGTTTTGTTATTTTTTCTTGGCCTTTTATTTTATTGGTGATGTCACCACTGGCTAAGCAGTACTATTTAGGGATCAAGCCTTTGGCGGAGATTAAGCCTTTAGTGGCGAAGAAGACTACGGTTCAGCAGAGGCAACTGATGCAGCGTTCGCCGAGTCCGCGACCTCTGTTCAGGATTTCAAGCGTTATTCATAAGGACAACAGTGGAGCCTCACAGTCGGACAACTCGAAACCATGCTATGGGCAGTCGAATAAATCATCGAACGGCTCGCCGAACGGCAAAAGTTCTACCTCCACCTCCTTGCCTACTAAACCGCCGAGTCAAGGGAAGAGGAACGAGGGTGCGGCGGCCAACAACAGCGGTGGCAGATCGTATCCGTGCATGAAGTCTTCTTCCCTTTCGTCCATCAGCAGAACGCCGCCCGGAAAGACCACAGGTTCGGGGATTCGCACCGGCATCGTGTCGAGGTCTGTTCAAAAGTTTGAGCGGACTGCTGCGATGCAGATCGGTCCTCAGAGGACCATGACCATGACTTCCTCCCTGGACAGGTCCGCCACCAGAGCTGGTTCGCTCGGCAGTTCCAGAAACATCAAGTACGTCCGGTTGGTTTTGAGCTACGTGTTCGATGTACACCATCGTTGTTATAGCCTAAGTTTCGGCAGCCTCTCGACCAGACGTAATTTCTCAACGGGCGACTGCGGCAGAAGTTCGGCCTCTGGTAGGCGTTTCTAGCAACAGCGAGTTTTTCATCGTTGTTTGTTCAATCCTACTCGTTTGCCGTCTTTTCAGAGGATACATGTTCTAAACCGCCACTAGGA